CACACGCCGCAACTACTGAGCTCACGCGCCTCAACTAGAGCCCGCGTGCCACAACTAAGACCCAACACAGCCAAAAATAAAATTAATAAATCTTAAAAAAAAAATTCCAGCAAACCACGGAGTGACAAGGACATAGACTAAGATAGTGCTGAACTCCAAGCACTGGTTTGTTCAATTGGTACAGTTCACACCATTAAGTCATAAGAACCAGGAAAGTGGACAGAGGGTAAGAATGGAAGGAATCTTACCACTGCCCCAAGGGTCACTCTAAGTAACAGGAAGGGGTCAAAGGCCAGTCTCAGCTCTAGTCTCTACAGATACCATCCCTCTCCCCCATCACCATCTCCACTCTCTCTCAGAAACAGGTCAGTCTGCTCTTTCAAACTAACGCTAAACCTAGCCTATTAAACCTATTAAGCTTAGGTCATTTAAATTACTCCAATGTCCTCATTAATATCTATGAATGGAACCAATTCCAGTGTGCTTATATCCAGTTGGGTGGCTCTGGGCAAGTGAATTGATGAGACGGTGCCCTCTTTTTGTGAAACTGTAACAGTAGTACCTACTTTGCTGGGATACTTGATAAATGAATTAAATGAACGTCTTTGGAGCACTGAGCTCCTTGGAGGACAGTTCCATATATACAGAAGGCTTTGTGACCTGCCTGCAACTGCAGGTTTTGCTAACGTAACCTAAGTTCAACCACCTGAACAGGGTTTCTTATTAAGAAAAGTCAGGCAATTGGAGGAAACAGGCATCACCTCCAAGAGCCTGCAGGCTCTAGTAAATAACAGATACTGCACAAGGCAGTATCTAGGCATCTTGCCCGTCTTATCACCCTGTCCAATTTGTCTTCACTTAAAGAGGCCTCTAGGGGTCTCCTCTAGTCCATAGTTAAATCAACGTATTAACTCTTCAGCCAAATACTACCTGCTAAGGTTAACCCGTATCTCCTTAAGGGCAGTGTGAATTAGCAGTCATAGCAATAGGCCGCTATAACAACACCATCAATGCTGTGCCCCTCAGCTTTGCTCTGAGTAGGTTACCAACGAATGACTCGCGAAGACGTGCGGTGGTGGAGGAGGGGAGCAGCCGCCCCCACCCCCCAACATAGGTTTCACCACGCTTTGGTCACTGCAGGAAGAAGGTAGAGCTCTGTTCTCTCTGTCTCACTTTGGATTACTCTCACTTCAAACATTCAGCCTGCACGAAGCGGTCACTTCTCGAATACATGGTCACAATTCTGAAGCTATGTGTGTATGCTCAGCGACACCCACCGCTCCCGGAGTTTCAGCCCAAATCCGGAGCTTTTCCCTTCGTCAGGGAGGCGCAGGGGGCCCGGAATCAGCAGCGCGCGGCCCCACTACAGTCTCCCCCAAGCGCCGATGCATGCCAGCCCGAAGCACTTGGCTGTCGCTTTCCCGGAGCCCGCGGGGACGGGACAGGACCCGAGCTCACGCCGCTGCTCGCGGGAGCGGGAGAAGGCGCAGTAGCACGGGGAGCAGGGGCCGGGACGTCCTGCTGGGGAAGGGGCGTGATCGCGGGACGCTCGCGGCGCGGGCGAGGCCAGGCGCGGGCTGCCTGGCGGCGCCACCGCGGGGCCCGGGGACGCGGCAAAGAGGTGCGGGTGGGGCGGTGCGGCTCCGCGGCTCGAGAGCAAACAGAATGCGCCGCGACTACTCACTCAGCCAGGACTCCAGACTCTCCCCTTCCGCCTCCGCCATATTGCAGCCGCCAGGGCCGGCCCAGCGGCCTCAAATCTCGCGAGAATCTGAAAGAGAAAAGCCGGGGCGGGGCCTGCACAGGGGCCTGAGATTACCGAGCGCCGCCACCGAGGGTGGCGCCGGCCTGCGACGGATAATGGGAGAGCGAATGTTTCCTTTTGACTCTTCGCTTTAGACCTCGGAGTGAGAGACTTTTAAGGCTCAGATTAATAGGGTGATGCACAGAGTTAGGACCCTTTAGAGCCTTTTCCCCGTCTTCCGTCACTCGCCCAGGCGCGCCGAGGGCAGCCTCTCTAGGGTCCTCGTGGCCAGCCAAAATGGCTGCCTCCGCGGTGACGGCTGTGCGAGGGTGGTCGGGCTTGCTGCTGGGCGTGCGGAGTGTTGTCCTGAGGCTTCCAGGGTGAGAGGGCGGCGGGCAGCTGGGAGGCCGCTTGTGTCTTCACGGAGGGACCTGCTGGGAAGGAAGGGGGAGCCACAGGCAGGCCTCGCGGGTTCCAGGAGAGAGCCTGGGAGCCGGGATATCTGAGTCTAAGCCTCTTGAACCAGCCGCGTGACTTTGAGTCAACCTGAAGGCTTAGTGACTGCTCCCAGCCCGAGGGGTTCTCAGTTGGAACGGCAAGTGCGATCTTGGTAAAGAACTCAGAGGTGGGATTTTCTTTGCTGGGAGTTGAGGGGAGAGATGCATAGGCGGGTTGCCTATCCTCAGGTTCAGGAGCTTGTCCTTACCGTTGGCACTTGAAGAGCAGACTTTCTTGGCCTGTTTGGGGGAGGTCCTCCTACCTCTTGGGACAAGAGCCAGAAGTTTTGCGGTTCAGCTTTGGCTGGCGGTCTCCACGCTGCTCTCGTCGGCGGATTGACACACATGCCTATCGTTAAGTCAAGCCTTTTCACTTGTGGAGTCAGCTTTTGCCCTTCTCTTCCTCTCCCCCCCTCCCCCCCCCCCCCCCCCCCCCCCCCGCCTCCCAGGCTAACCCAGGTGAGGTGGAGCCGCTATGGTCCTGAATACCAGGATCCCCAGATTGACAAGGGATATTACCGCAAGCCCTTGGCCGCGCTGACTGAGGAGGAAAAGTATGAGAGGGAGCTCAGGAAGACTCAGGTTATCAAAGCTGCCCCTGCGACGAGAACAAGCTCTGTGTTTGAAGACCCAGTGATCAGGTTAGAAGGAAACAAATTTTTGTTCTGCGGAGTGGGACTATACCAGGGAGGGCCTGCAGTAGGGGTTCCCTGATACAGCCCTGGCGAGCTAAACATGTTGCTTTTCTCCTTGAAGTAAATTCACCAACATGATGATGAAAGGAGGAAACAAAATACTGGCCAGATCCCTCATGACACAGGTAACCAGTACCTCTCTTTCTCATCTTTGTTTTCCCCATAGCTTTGTACTTGGCTCTTTAATTTTAACATAAAAAAGAATTCATTCTATACTTTCATTAAAATTAACTTCCATGTACTTATGTATGGAATGGGGGCTTTAAGGAAGTCCTGCAGGAGTCAACCACTGCCATTCCCTACCCCCATGTGACAAATCTTAGCCTGCTTTTTCTGTCCTAGTCCAGGATCTTTGTTTCAGAAGTGCCGAGGGAGTAGCTGCACAGCTACAGAAGAAGACGAGGATGATGGAAGTAAGGGGCAAGGTCCTAGCTCAGCTGGGTTAAACGTTTAGGGAGCCTGGGGCAGCCTCTTCCACTGTATCCCTTTGCAGACTCTGGAAGCTGTGAAAAGGAAACAGTTTGAGAAGTACCACGCTGCTTCTCCTGAGGAACAGGCAACCATTGAACGCAACCCCTACACCATCTTCCACCAAGCACTGAAAAACTGTGAGCCTGTGATTGGGCTGGTGTCCATCCTCAAGGGTGGCCATTTCTATCAGGTGAGTGGTCAGGGTGGGAAAGCAGGGCTGCTCACGTGTGAAACAAGATGGTGGGGGTGGGTAGAGTTGGGCCAAGGTTGATAGCTTTCTAAGGACTGGGGAGAGTCAGGGTCAGCTCATCTGAGTCCCACAGTGTAAAGATTACAGGCAGAAGATGGAAGAGAGCAAAAAAAACGTATCCAAGTGGCCTCTTTTGAAGGCCCACCCTACCCCCCATTCTGTTCAGCATTCTGTGTTCTAAACTATAAGCTTCTCATGGTGAGGGACTATGTTTGTATCTCATGTTTATACACCAGTGTCTGGTGTAGTGCTTGAGTGATGCTTCATCACCGTTTGTTGAACTGAACTGGGTGTCTCTGTCATGCCATTTAATATTTCATCGTCATAATCCGGTGTTCGTGTCTTTCCTTTTTCATTGTAAACTTCATAAAGGTAGAGACTTTTTCATTAACGTCTGTGTCCCTAGGGTCGGCATGGTACCTGGCACATAGTGGGGGCCCGGCAAATGATTCTTGGACAAGAGGGTCTTCTTTCTAGGCACGCATGATCTGTGTTGGCTAAGTCATGCCCAGCTGACAGGGCTTTTCCCAGTGGTGCCTGTTATCAACTTGGCTGAGCTCCCTTTAGAGGTGAAAGAGGCCAGTACTCAAGGAATGTTTGCTCGATGAATGCCTGATGTGTGCTGCACCGAGGTCAGCCAGGGGTGAGAGAGGCTCAGAGGGGAAAAGACAGGCCCCCTCCTCAGCCGCCTTGCCAGGGCTGGCCCAGAGCAGTCCTGTGGCTGCTTCTTAAGAGCTCTAGGAGGAGGGAGGCTGCAGTCCTGGCAAGTTCTCAGACTAACTTGCCCGTGTCCAATCTTGCCCAGGTCCCGGTGCCGCTAGCCGACCAGCGTCGCCGCTTCCTGGCCATGAAGTGGATGATTACTGAGTGTCGGGAGAAGAAGCACCGGCGGGTGCTGATGCCGGAGAAGCTGTCCCAGGAGCTGCTGGAGGCTTTTCACAACCGGGGCCCTGTGATCAAGAGAAAGCACGACACGCACAAGATGGCCGAGGCCAACCGCGCGCTGGCCCACTACCGCTGGTGGTAACGGGCGGGCGGAGGAGCCGGGAGGAGCCCAGCACGCTGCTGTAGAAGCGGCATGAGCCACCGCCATGTTGCAAAATACCTGTGGGTTAAGCGTATACTTGCCTTTCAGAGGCAGGCGGGCCTCGTAAGAAGGATGGAGCAGCATGTTTATTGCTTGTTAGTCGTTTTTCTGGGGGCTAGAACTCACTCTCCCTGCCCCATCTCCTTGCAAAGAGGGGTCATATCAACTTAGATTTTCCCCAAGAAACTTAGGGCTCATCCAGCCCTTCTCTTCCTTCAGCTTGGGGTGGACCTTTGGGTGATACGAAAGGAAGCAGTTTTAGTATCAGAAAAAGTTTATTAGGAAATTCTCATCCTGAGCTGGTGTAGCATGTGATGTGGTATTGCCATTCATTAAAACCAACCGGAGGAAACGTGCTCGGTTCCAAAGTGGTCCTTGTACAAAATGTATAAAAAGCAGTTTCTGGTGTGACTCTACTTCTCCCCTTTGATATCCCAAAGCACCCCACCAATGGCTCTGGGTACTCATTTTACAGATGGGGAAACTGAGGCACCAAGATAGCTATTGTACCAAAGGTTACATAGTGCAGTGCTTGTCAGGAGTTGCCCTTCTTTGCCTGGCCCAGGTTGAAGGTGAGGGGAGAGAAACGCTGATGGGACCGTGGGGCAGGTGTGCTTGGTGTCTTCCCCAGTCCTGGAATCGGAGCGAAGGTGCTCAGGGCGGGACCACCGCCTAAGTGGGAAACATCTCGGGTGCTTCTGGAAGTCTGGAAGGGAAAAAGTCCGGGAGAGGCAAAGACTCCACTGCCAGGTTGGGAGGTGGGTAGAAGAAAGGCCGGTGCTGCTGAGGAGGAGGCCTGATTTGGAGGCCTAGTCAGAGACCTCGCTATAGTAATACTTGTGTGCGGCCGGGGTCGTCTTCCAGCCAGCTGCCCGGAACTCGATGATCTCCAGCAGCAGCAGCTGGGCCAGGGAGCTGAGGCCGGCTGGGAGCAGGAAGCCATCCCGGATCAGGACAAAGAGCTCATCCATGCGCTGCCCATTCATCTTCTCCAGCTGCTCTCCGACCCGGTGCAGCTGCAGCACCAGGCAGTCCACCTGCAGGGGGCAGCAGGCGGTGACCCCGGGCAGGGCCCTCCATCACACAGAGCAGCTATTTACTGAGCGCTCGCGGTGCGCCAGGCACCGGGCTTGGCCCTGTACACGTGTTTGCCCACTTCATCCTCACCCCACCCAGTGGGCGCTGTCCACGTCTTACATGAAAAGAAGCAAGTTCAGAGACTTGCTTAAGGTCTCTCACCTGGGCCAGGCTGGACTCGGGCCCTGTTTCCAAACTGCTTCTGAACCCCACTTTCCTCCCCCCAACCCTGGTGTGGTTTTGGGGTCATCTGTATCCACAGCTGGCTGACGCTCTCACCAGTCCTACCATAGGTTGGCTTTCCTACTCAAAACCTCTGAGCCGGGAGGTTTGGGCTGTGCTCTGTTCTGGATAGACTCCAGGCCTAGCAGCTTGCCCTGTAACTGTGACAGGCCTTAAATGCGCCCACCAGGCTCCTCCCCAGCAAGTGATGCCCTCGAAAGTCTCCACGAACAGTGGGCAGGCATTCTGAGTTAAGCCAGAGGCAGCCCACCTCCACAGCCTTCTGTACTAGGGCCACCCACCTCCTCCTCCTTGCTCAGACTGTCGGGCTGGGCCAGCCGGAAGAGGCAGTCGTAGACGGGGTTCACCAGGGCCATCATGGGCATGTTGTTCACCTACGGGGGGAGAGCGGGGGCCAGAGCCCGGCTTAGTGGCACAGGAGACAGGCCGTCTGTGCTGCACAGGATGTGGCTGGCAGGGCCTCACCCTCAGGTAGTCAAAGATGTTGCAGATAAAGGTGACGTAGCAGACCCAGCCCTGCAGGGAGCGGGCTCGAAGCTGCTCCCGAGCCTGGTACTCCTGCTGCAGCCGGTTGAGGAGTCCGCGGCGGAAGACACTCTGGCCTGCTTGCTTGCTCTCTGCCTGTGAGCCAGGGAAAGGGTGGTGAAGGGCAGTCACTGGGCCGTCGCAACTCCACCCAAGCTTCCAAGGCCGAGGACCCTGCTGTCCTCCTCTCTCGCCTCTGAGGCCAGCCCTTTGCATCTCTGCCCTGCTGGCCAGGCCTCTGCCCACTCCTGAAGCACCTTCCTCAAAGCGTCCCCTTCTCTACCAGCCCCACCCAACCTGAATGATGGCGTAGCACATGCGTCCTGCTTCCTTGCTGAATACACAGTCCTGCAGAGAATGGTCCACAATCACATTGGCCACTTTCTCCAAGTCCACGGCACCTGGATCTAGGGTAAAGACAGGTGGGGAGTCTAGAGCTGCTTAATTATGACGTTTGCCTCCACCTGCTTCTAAAGGATTCAAGATATTCACAGAAGAGCAGTCCCATTATACGCTTCCATTTAAAGAGACCAGGAAACAGAGGAAACTACACAAGGAGCAGCTGCGGCCGTGAGCCTCCTGATGGCCCAATCAGAAGAAACAGGGAGGGTTATGTGGCTGTTAGAGAATCAAAGAACGCTCGTTTTTTTAGGACACATCTTTTCCTAGCCCTAGGCTGAGGATGGAACACTGAATGCCAGTGCCTTTGACAGCCATTTCACGGAAGAAAGTGTTCTTATAATACACACACGTGAACCCCTGACAAGAGCCGGCCAGGCAGGGCCTCCCCACAGGCTCAGCTTGGCACGTGATGGGCACTGCTAATCGTTAGCTGAGTCAAACTTCTGTCCTGAAAGTGCTGCAAGAAGGCACTGGTCCAGGACAATTACTGTAGCTCCCCTGCCAAGCAGAACACTCCATCCTCTGTCCCACGTCAGGCAGCTCTGCACATTCAAGAGAGCTGGCTGCAGCGACGCGCAAACCAGGTCCAGCGTAAGGACTTAAGGGGCAGGAACTGTGTTCTCTGTGCCTCACTATCCTCTCATGGGCACCTAAACTTTAAAAAAAGGCTTTACAATCTGAGGGGGCGACTCTGATTCATACTGCCAAATACTGGCCTAAATGTAGCTTGTCTTCCAGTTCCAGAATGACGTTGCTGACTCCTATTCTGAGGAAGTGAAGGGAGAGGGCTGGGCAAAGCCGGGCGAAGGCTCAGTACTCCAGGCCTGGCCCCTCGGCCCCTCCTCTGTGGCTCTGGGCCCAGGCTCAGGGGGCTCCGCACGCTCACCTTTGAGGGCTGTCTTCAGCAGCTGCTGTGTCGCTGCGTCAAAAGACTGGATTTTATACTCCTCTCTCCTGGGCTCCCCCATGGCCATGCAGCTGCAGCAGCTCTTTCCGAGGTTGGGACTAATGACGGCACCTGGAGAGGAGAGGCAGCAGGAGAGGCCTCAGGTGTGGCGCACGGGGCCAGGGCTCCCAGCTCTCCCGGCCCGCGTCAGGACTGGCCAGTGCTTGAGACAGGTGCTCCTGGGCAGTCCATGGCATTCAGTGGTTGGCTGGGTGCCCGCCAAGCTTGGCTTCTGGTGGAGACTGGGCACCAGCCAGGCACCTGCTGCTCAATTAAAGAACCCCTGTAGCTTCTGGGATTACACAAGAGTAAAGAGATGAAGGGTGAATGCGTCTACCCTCCAGTCCCAGCAGCAGGCAGGGTTTTTCTCAGCTGACACCAAGGGGTGGGGTGAGGGTGGATATGTGGATATTAAACACTTCCCCTGCCTATATATATGCCGACCTGGAAGCTGCTGGTCCAGCATGGCTCCTGGCGAGTGAGAGGGCTAGGGTCTCCACGCTTCGGACAGCTCTGTCCCAGCAGGGGTCCAAGCCCCTCTCCGCAACCCTCTCCCTCCCTTTAGTCAGAGTCCTCGGCCCAGAAAGCCCACTCCTCCTGCCCTCGGGGTGGGGCCGGCCAGAGGGCTGGGTGCAGAAGCGTCTCTGCTGCCCTGACTCCCCTCGTCCTGGCCAGCTTCTCCCCGGGACAGACTAGTTAAACTGGCCTCTCGAGTGGCAGAAACTCGGCCCTGCCCGCTCAGGACTCCCTGAGAGTCCTGAGCTCCGTTCTGGATCCTTCCTTAAGGAGGGGAGCGAGGTGACGTGTCCCCCAGAGGTGGTCCCCTTTGGAGTCCCCTCTCCGCACTCGGTGCCTCCCCCATGGCCAAAGGAGAGGACCTTAGGGGTCTCCAGACCAGGGCAGCTTCCCGAACGCCCTTCCCGTGGGCTGGAGAGTTGGCGGGAGCGCCGGGACCCACCTGCCGCGCCGGCGCCACGCCCGCGTGCCCGAAGGCCGCTCGAGGGGCATGCTGTGCGCGCCGCGCCTCCGCGGCGCTGCTGTCGCCTCGCCGCCGCTTAGGTCATTTCCTAGCGCGGTGGCGCGGCGGGACCCGGGGCGGCGGGGCGGCGGGGCGGGGCCTGGGGCCGCCTCGCCAGCGCCACCTGCCGGAGCCCCGAGGTCGCTGCCCTCGCCGCCCGGCCAGGCCTGCCCGAAGGTTCCTGGCATGGGGCCGCGCAGAACGCCCGCGACACTGCTTCCACCGCCCCTGTCCTCTCCTCACCCGGCTCTCCCACGGGCTATCCGGGACCACACCGGCTCCTCGGTACTGGGGTGGACCTGCTCCTCAGCCCGCATTAAGCCCTGGGTCTTGAGCGCTAACACTCTCCCTCTCCCCGCCCCACGCTAGAGCTCAGGTTAAAACGGGGTCAGGGGACTGGCCCGGCCGCGCGGCGTGGGAGGGGCCTGCGGAGGGCGTGGTCCGCAGCCGGGCGGCGGGAGGGAGAAAGGTGGGAGGGCAGAGAAGAGGGCTGGAGGGGCAGGACTTAACAGGTGGTGGCCGTGTGCTCCCCATTCCCACCCCCTCCCCCCAAAGCGGAGAAGGCAGGGAGGTCGTAAGGGCTTTGAGGATCAAGTCCCACTAAGCCGCTCTCCTACTCCAAGTACAAACGATATTGGTAAAATAAGTTGAAAATCAATGGGCCAGCCCAAGAGAAAGGATCCCAGTTGCCAACTTGCGGCGCCCAAGGTGTTGGGAGTGACCCTGAGGTTGAGCAAGCCCCTGGCTCAGTCCGTCTTGGTCGGGACAAGACACTCCAGGGAAGTGTCTTGTCCCCGGAGGGACAAGGGGTTGAGGCGCGGGCCCAGCAGCCCAGACAGGGCCACCTCTGAGGTCAGCCCTGGGTTGCAGGAGAGCATACAGAAGAGGCTGGAAAAGAACCGTCTCGTCCCATCGCTTAGACCAGAAGGAAGTGCTGATGGCAGTTTCCTGTATCGAAAGCTCGCTCCTCCTGTTCAAAGAGCTGCCAAAGCGGTCACCAGAAAATGAACGAGGAAGACAATCCCAGCTGCAGCAAAAGAAACCAATGCGTGGGAGAGCTGGAGAGAACGAAGTTTACTTCCGTGGAATTTCACCAAAAATACATCCAGGCAGCTGCAAGCCTTGCCTGCCAAAAAACCTGTGGGTGTGGGAGCCCTCCAGCCACAGGTGAGCCTTCTTAATCAGCAACCAAGAGCAGGGAGGCTTCAGGATTATGGGGACCAGACACATCACAAAGCCCCAGACCAGGGACGAAACAGTAATGGTGAGAAAGGGCCCAGGATCCATGGGGACCGAGAGCCATGACACCCACCCAAGACCTGCTCAAAGGCTGGAGCCGGGGCTGAGGCGAGGTCAGGCTCTAAGTCCTGCACGGGGCTCCCCCTGCACAGCCAACCTCTCAGGCCAGGCTCCCCTGGGGTGGAAAGTGGTGGGTGTGCTCTGTAGGTTTTCCTCCTCTCATACCCCTAACCGTGCCTCGATGGGTGTCTGTCGTGGGTTCCTGTGCCCTGACAACTCCCGGAGCACCAACTGTGCATGCAGCAGGCTGCCTGCACAACCCCCTCTTTCCAGGACTACAGAGGATGCACACAGCACCACGCCAGACCCAGCAGGAGCACCCTGAGCGGGCAGGAGATGCTCACTGGCCCAGCTGTAAGCTCCCACTCACCCAGGAGGGCTAACCCAGCCCACAGGGAAAGAGGAGTGATCCCAGTAGACGGGAAAAGGGCTGCTGCCTTTACCGGCGCCCCCTCCCCATCAGCACATCCCCCCACTGCCTGTGGGGCTGCTGGGGTCTGCCTTCCCTAGAGGCCCACGGGCAGCGACCAGCCTGTCCAGGGAGAGAACAGCCCGAGTGGTGCCTTTATAGACACGAAGATCTGAGCAGGGTGGAGTTTATAAAGTGACTGATTCAGCTGGGATTCTTCCCCCAGAGCTAGAAGCAAAGCTGCCTGAGGAATGCAACTGCTGAGAAAAGTAGAGTTTAGGGAAGGCAGGGATCCCTTCCCTCATACTTGGGGAGAAGGGATGTGATTTGGAGGGGAAGATGGAGGAGTCAGATAAGGAATGTGTTTTTAGTTTTAATGTCTATTAAATAATTGGTGGGAGTAAGAACCCAGGTGTGGGGACCAGACCCCTGTAAAGGCCTGACCCCAGCCTCACACTCAAGCTGCGGCCCACCCAGACGCAGGAGAGTTCTCTGGGCAGCCGGAGCGAAGGCGTGCAGGAGGGCAGCTGTTGTCCTGAGTGTGCGCCACACAGAGGAGAAACGTCCAGCCCCTTCTGACTGGCGGGGCTGGGTCCCCACAGACCGAGTCCTGCGTTCGCCCCGTGCTCTCCCGTGGAGAACCCCCTTTGCCCTTCTGGTGGAATCCAGGCTGCTGCCGACGGCTCTTCGTGCCCAGGACAGCTGGCCTGGAGGGAGGGGCCGGGCAACACCTCTCAGTGCAACACGGGATGGTAGATCAAGCGTTCTTCACGAGGGCCCCTCCAGGGAAGGACCTCAGGCCACCCTTCCTGCCCTCGAGGCTAGCTGTCTGCCTTCTTCATGTGGTGGAAGAGGTTACAGAAGAGCTCGTACCAGAAGAACACAAAGCCGGTGGAGAGGGCAGCCTTCAGCAGGCTGGGGGCCAGGCCTTTGAAGCAGCCCTGTGCACCCTCCTCTCGCAGCACCTGCCTGGCGCAATCCAGGAGGCCCTTGTAGCTTCGCACCTGGGGAGAGGAAGGTTCTCCAGTTGAGGAGAGAGGAGGTGATGGCAACATGGGTGTGAGCTCTGTTCTTTTGTCAACACAGAGCCTGGCACGTTCAAGCACCCAATAAATACTTGCTGGACAAAGGAATGAATGCAAAAAAGACAGAATAAGTTAACCTCATTCTTTCTCTTCCAACTGGGCTAATTCAGACTTAACAGATGCAGTGCCTGGAAATCAGCACTGGACAGAGCTCCTTCCTGCCCTGGAGGCTCCACTGACAGTGGCTCTTAAGGACCCAGAGAGAGCTCTGGACCCTCTTCCCAGGGGTGCCTCTGACTGTGCGCCCATCCCTCCTGGTCCCCCTTGGGCAGTAGATCTGAACCGGCCCCTTGTTAGCTCTGAGCCTGACCAGCGGCGCCAGCCTGGCCACCTCCAGTTGACCACAAACTGATGCTAGACCCGTGTCCCCAAGGCACAGCTCTACTCAAGCCTCGCTCCCCTCCCAGAGCTCCAGTAACTCCCAATGATGATGACGACAATGATATTACAAAGAATCAAGTCCAAGCCCCACGGCGTGGTGTTCAGGGCGTTTCACCATTTGGCCTCAACTTCCCTCCCTGATCTGCCTTTCCCCACTGGTCCACCCTCAGTGCCCGCACACCTCCAGCCACACCTGCTCACGCTAAAGCTCTGTGAGGAGCAGAGCCTCCCTTCTCTGTCTTGAGCTCTCACCAACTCTCCCTATCCAAATTCAAACCATCTTTTCAAGACAAGTTGGTAAAAGGAAGAAGGAGGTTATAAAACCTTGTGTGTAACCCCATTTTTGTTAAACATATGTTTATTTATGTAAAGGAATAAAACTACAACGCGGATGGACCTAGGTGGTGTTATGCTTAGTGAAATAAGTCAGAGAAAGACAAACAGTGTATGTTATCACTTTTATGTGGAATCTTAAAAATAAAACAAATGAATGGGGCTTCCCTGGTGGTGCAGTGGTTAAGAATCCGCCTGCCAATGCAGGGGACATGGGTTCGAGCCCTGGTCCGGGAAGATCCCACATGCCACGGAGCAACTAAACTCGTGCGCCACCACTACTGAGCCTGCGCTCTAGAGCCCGCGAGCCACAACTACTGAGCCCATGTGCCACAACTACTGAAGCCTGTGTGCCTAGAGCCCGTGCTCCACAAGAGAAGCCATCGCAGTGAGAAGCCCACACACCACAATGAAGAGTAGCCCCTGCTCACTGCAACTGGAGAAAACTGGCGTGCAGCAACGAAGACCCAATGCAGACAAATATAAATAAATAAATAAATAACAAAACAAACAAAAAAACCAAATGAATGAATATAACAAAACAGAAACAGACTCACAGACATAGACAACAAACTAATGGTTACCAGTGGGGATAGGGAAGGGGGCAGGGGCAAGATAAGGGTAGGGAATTAAGAGGTACAAACTACTATGCAAAAAATAAATAAGCAACAAGGATATGTTGTACAGCACAGGGAAATATAGCCATTATTTTATAATAACTTTAAATGGAATAAAATCTATAAAAATATTGAATCACTATGTTGTACACCTGAAACTAACATAATATTATAAATCAAGTATACTTCAATAAAAGAAAGAAAGGAAGGAAGGAAGGAAGAAAGAAAGACTACAGGGACTTCCCTGGTGGTCCAGTGGTTAAGACTCTGCGCTTCTACTGCAGGGGGCGCGGGTTCGATCCCTGGTCGGGGAATTAAGATCCCACATGCCGCGTGGCCAAAAATGAAATAAAAATAAAAACGTTTAAAAAAAAGAATCTTTAAAAAAAGAAAGACTACAGCTAAAGGTTCTGTGTGATTATCTCTGCGTGGGTGGTGATGAATTTATTTATTTACTTACTGTAACAAATTTATTTATTTATTTTTGGTTGCATTGGGTCTTTGTTGCTGTGCTCGGGTTTTCTCTCGCTGCGGCGAGCGGGGACTACTCTTCGTTGCGGTACAGATCAAACCTGGGTCATGGCAGTGAAAGCACCGTGCCCTAACCACTGGACCACCAGGTAATTCCTCTGAATGCTTTTTAAGAGCAGGCACTAAGAGTGTGCCTTTTCCTGGGTCTTTAAACAGTGTCCAGTACACACAGGGCTTTGCTTGTGGCTCCCCTTGTGCTCAGGGGTCCCCAGTGTGAAATAAAATTCATATTTTATGGCAAAACAGGAAAAATTTAAACATAAAAATTCTTCTCTGCCCTTTGGCCTCCTCTCTCTCCACACTGTGCATTATGCATTGACCAAACCCTCTCCCAGGAATACCTGCTCAACCATAGAGAGCAACATTCTCCCAGCATCAACCAGAGAACTCCTTAAAAAGATAACATTCCTTCTTGATCTTGTAAGGGGTCACATGACCCACCACGATGTTGCTTAGAACTGGATTCTGTGAACTGTCAAAAATACGTCATTTGGGGCTTCCTTGGTGGCAGTGGTTGAGTCCGCCTGCCAATGCAGGGGACACGGGTTCGAGCCCTGGTCCGGGAAGACCCCACATGCCGCGGAGCAACGAAGCCCGTGCACCACAATTACTGAGCCTACGCTCTAGAGCCCGCAAGCCGCAACTACCGAGCCCACGTGCCACAACTACTGAAGCCTGTGCACCTAGAGCCCACGCTCCGCAACAAGAGAAGCCACCACAATGAGAAGCCCGCGCACCGCAACGAAAAGTAGCCCCCGCCTGCCCCAACTAGAGAAAGCCCGTGTGCAGCAACGAAGACCCAACTCAGCCAAAAATAAATAAATAAGTTTATCTTAAAAAAAGTAATAATATGTCATTTGGGGCTTCCTTGGTGGCACAGTGTTAAGAATCCGCCTGCCAATGCAGGGGACATGGGTTCAAGCCCTGGTCTGGAAAGATCCCACATGCCGCAGAGCAGCTAAGTCCGTGTGCCACAACTACTGAGCCTGAGCTCTAGAGCCCGTGAGCCACAACTAATGATCCCGCCTGCCACAACTACTGAAGCCTAGAGCACGTGCTCCACACGTGTGAAGCATGCCTAGAGCCCGTGCTCCACAACAAGAGAAGCCACCGCAATGAGAAGCCCGCGCACCACGACAAAGGGTAGCCCCCACTCACTGCAACTAGAGGAAGACCCAACACAGCCAAAAAACACCCCAAAAAACGTCATTTGATGCACAGCCCTTTGTCTCAAAAAACTTATATAAACTGTGTCTTAACTTCTAGCAGGTGGAATAGTTCTCAGAGCTTTCTGAGATGCTCTTCCCGGGTTACAATCCTCAAATTTGGCTGGAATAAGATTTTCCGATTCTTTCTTAGATCAACTGATTAATTTTTCATCGACACCGGGGACATGCAGGGGCTGAGAGGGCTATGGGGGCGAAAGCTGCCCAGTGGACAGGAGCTGACCCAGTTCTTTCACGTGCCCAGTGAGGGGCTGGAATCAGAGCTCTCTGCAGAGGGACATCTCACCTGGCCAAAGGAGGCTCGGGCCTGCTCAAACCCTCCAACCTGCAACCGCTTCTTGAAGAGGTCCAGGGGGTACGTGAGGGTCTTGCTGATGACTCCAGCTCCACTGCCACAAAGCAGGTTTTTGAAGTTCCCTGAACCAGAGAAGTGGGATAGAGGGGAAATATGAGAGAAATGCAGTCTAGGGTAAGCTTCAAGGTTATACAGTCTAATCCTCGACCAGAAAACCCAAACCTACAAGCATCCCCGATCTTGGAAGAATTTAATCCAGGAGCGAGAGAACCAGACACAACCTCAGGAAGAATGACAACAGACAGGGCTTCCCTGGTGGCGCAGTGGTTAAGAATCTGCCTGCCAATTCAGGGGACATGGGTTCGGGCCCTGGTCCGGGAGGATCCCACGTGCCGCAGAGCAACTAAGCCCATGAGCCACAACTACTGAGCCTGCGCTCTAGAGCCCACGAGCTACAACTACTGAGCCCACGTGCCACAGCTACTGAAGCCCATGTGCCTAGAGCCCGTGCTCTACAACAAAGAGAAGCCACTGCAATGAGAAGCCTGCGCACCGCAAGGAAGGGTAGCCCCCGCTCGCCTCAACTAGAGAAAGCCCGCACACAACAATGAAGACACAACACAGCCATAAATAAATAAATAAATATTTTAAAAAAAGAACCAACGCAGCCAAAAAGTTAAAAAAAAAGAATCTGCCTGCCAATGCGGGGGACACAGTTTCAAGCCCGTGTCTGGGAAGATCCCACATGCCACAGAGCACCTAAGCCCGTGCGCCACAACTACTGAGCCTGTGCTCTAGAGCCCGCGAACCACAACTACTGAAGCCTGCGCACCTAGAGCCCGTGCTCTGCAACGAGAAGCCACCGCAGTGAGACGCCCGCGCACCGCAACAAAGAGTAGCCCCCGCTCTCTGCAACTAGAGAAAGCCCGCACGCAGGAACGAAGACCCAACACAGCCAAAAATAAATAAATAAAAAATTTTTAAAAAGGAACGACAATGGACTGCTGATTGGACAGGCTGGTGGCAGAAGGGGTGTGCGCCTTTAACAGTAATCACCCCAGCTGGAGGCAGTAATGGCCTGCAGGCTCTGCCATGCAACTCAGTTCAAGGCTTGGGAGGGAACAGGATGCCCATCCCCCTCCCCAGAGTCCCCAAACGAAAACCAAACCAAACACAGAAGCAAAACCAGGCTGTCTGCAAGTTGGACCTTTGACAAAAATGAAAACCATGACCGGTAGTTGGAAATTACAGTGGCAAGAGCCGAAAGAAAAAAAGTCATCTGTGAGTGAATGGATTTGTTTTGTTGGCTGTATTACAGAGCTGTGGGTTCAGAGATCTGTGGTGTCTTAGCTTCTGCAGGAAAACTTTATTTCCTACCTGATTCAGAAAGAGATGCTATGGCTTGGGAGTGGGGTGGAGTGGGACCCAGATTCCCTTTCCCATGAGGCCGGTCTCACCGTTTTTCTTTCCTTCGGCTGGCATGGCCCACTCATATGCGTGCTTCAAGGAGCTGTAGAAGGAGAACTGGAACCCAGCGTAGGGGAAGATGGCGATCAAGGTGGGGTTCAAGCCTTTGTAGAAGACCAAGGGGCCTTCGGTCCTGTACATGGTCACCACGGCGTTTCGCAGAGTTTTATAGACCTGGACACCACACATGCAATGATGAGTGACATCGTTTCAGCCCGAGAACCCAGCCCACCAGCTGTATTTCCCCTTGTCCAGAAACCAGCTACTAGCAGCATTACTTCTCCTGCCAGAAGGACAAAGAAAATGCTGGACAAAAATTCCAAGGGTGGGACTGTCTGGCAGCTCCCCTTCTAGCTATTTACACGACTGAGATATGCCAAGGAGTGCACAAAAGTATGCGGAACAGCGAAAGGTGTGAAGTCCACCCTTGGGTGATCGGTTATATAAATTATGGCACACCTGTTCAAAAGAACGTAGTGTAGCAATTACAACAGGAAGATGCAATCTAGACGATCGATAGGGAAGACTCCCCCAAATATACAGTTAAGTGAACCCAGCAGGACATGAAGAGCAGGCATAGTGTCTGTGGAGGAAACAAACTGTATGCAGAGACTATGCCCCACAAGGACACACAAGAAAGGAGGGACAGTAACATTATTACCGCCACAGCGGGAAACAGGGGGACAGGGGAGGGATGGGGGAAGAAGGAGATTCACTATGACCATTTTATGCTATCTGGATTTTTTTGCCATATGCATATACTTAACCTTTCTGAAACCATCAACAGGTGATCTTTATGCACGAAGAGCCACTGATTTTTTAGTACACTTCTATTTGGCATATATTCTTTGCAGTGGACCAGAGGGGCTGAATCTGCCTGGCTGTGGGTGCGGGAAGCACTGCACTGACAAGAGGGTGACCGAGGGGAAGTCTGTACTGAGCAGGGACAGTACACACTTGGCTCCCAGATGCTCCCTCTTGACACTTGGCTCCCAGATGCTGGCAGCCACATCGAAGGCTTTCGCCCTGGGGACTTGCATGAAAGGGCCGGGCCTCAGAGGAAGGCCATCGGGCAACAAGCTGCCCACGTGCCACTCTGCTTTTTGTGTGCCCTCTTAACACCAAGCTGGCAGCCAAGAGTCACCAGACATTTGAGGAAAGCCTCCCCCAAAACAGAGGCCAAAATGATTGATGAGGGGCAGGAGAAGTCATTTGGAAGGAAGAGACCGTAAAGATATAGCAGAAGAAAACGACAGCAAAAAGAAACCACCCACGAAATTTTAACTAATATCCTGAGACCACAGAGAAGGCATCACCTTCACGATAAAAGCAGAGGGTCAGGGCTTCCCTGGTGGCGCAGCGGTTGAGAGTCCGCCTGCCGATGCAGGGGACACGGGTTCGTGCCCTGGTCCGGGAAGATCCCACATGCTGCGGAGCGGCTGGGCCCGTGAGCCATGGCCGCTGGGCCTGCGTGTCCGGAGCCTGTGCTCCGCAATGGGAGAGGCCGCAACAGTGAGTAGGCCCGCGAACCGCAAAAAAAAAAAAAAAAAAAAAAAAGGAGCCAACTACTCACAGGCACCCCACGGACACATCTCCAATGCATCTACCAAGTGAAGGGAGCCAACTCAAACGACTACACAGGGCATAATTCCATTTATGTAACATTCTGGAAAAGGCAGAACTTCAGACAGAAAACAGACCAGTGGTTACTGAAGGCTGGAGGTGGGGAGGGACAAACTACAAAGGACAGGAGGAAATCAGGGGGTGATGGAACTTCTGTCTTATATCTTGATTGTGCTAGTGGTTACGTGACTATATGCATTTGTCAAAAGTCACAGAACTGTATGCTAAAAAGAGTGGATTTTACTGTGCAAGTTATGCTTTAATAAACCTGACTGAAACAAACAAACCAAAGACAGTTCTTAGGAACCAACATATGTTAGCAGACATTATTTAAACTCAATAGAGGGCCCAAATGATAAAAGTAAGGAAACCTCCCAGAATGGTAAATAAAAGATAAGTCAATCAGAGGATCAATCCAGGATGTCTAGTGTCTAACTGACATGAATTCCAGAAAGAAAAAGAAAAAAAGAGGGCAGGCAATTGTGAATGAATAATTCATGACCATTTTCCAGGCATGAAGAACATGTGTCCAGACTAAAGGGCCCAGGAAGTGCCCATCACAATGAATGAAAGAGACCTGCCCTGGGGCACTCCACTGGTAAATTTCTAGAATGCCAGGGATCAAGAAAAGATCCTGAGGGACTTCCCTGGTGGTCCAGTGGTTAAGACTCCATGCTTCCACTGCAGGGGGTGTGGGTTCCAGCCCCGGTTGGAGAACCAAGATCCCACGTGCCGCATGGTGGGGCCACAGAAAAGTTAAAAAAAAAAAAAAAAAAGATCCTGAAAGTTCCCAAGAGGGCAAAGTGGATGCCTTCATCTAAAGGGTTAGTCATCAGGATGGTTCCGGACGCCTCTTCAGCAATACTGAGAGCTACCTAGAATTCTACACCCAGACCATCAGTTAAGTGCAAGGGGAAAATAAAGGCATTTTCTATCAGGCTTCTGTAAGGAAGCTATACCTCAGGATGTGCTCCACAAAATGAGGGACTAATCAAGAAAGAGAAGACATGGGCTCCTACGTGAGAATTCCTAAGAGAATAGCTGGCCATAGTCCTGGAGCAAACAGTCTAGATCGAAGCCATAGGGTGAAGGGTTCAAGGGTGGGGGGCTCTAGGAGGGGCTCCATAAAAACATGGGACTGATGACCACAGGCTCACCCTATTGGGAGATTGTTTGAAAGTGAATTTGTGATAAGCATGCAGAAAGCAAAACAAATAAAATACAAAGCAATTGCCAACTTCAGGAAAGACAAAAATACAAAAGAAAACATAATCGTAATATATTTTGAGGCTCAGCAGGAGCATTTACATAATCATAATAGCATAAACACTGAGTACTGATTTAGCCAAAAATCTATTAATCAGCTGTGCCGCGCTCAGGCGAGGAAGCACAAGCATGCCCACGGGTGATGGTAAAGGAGTTAAATCCTCATCTTCCATAGTAGTAGTCAGTAGTTAATGTCTATAATTTAAAACTGAGAAGGAAAGGAAGAAAGAGAAAGAGCATGTTACTTTGAATTAGGAAGTAAATTACGGAAGAAGCACACAAATATTAAAAGTGGTTGCCTCTGGGGAATAGAATCAGGGGGGCGGCTGGTGTTTTTTCATTATAGTTCATGAAGAACTATCTGTCTTTTTAACCTTTACACACTTTATAGGTTATTTATTTATTTATTTATTTGTGGCTGTGTTGGGTCTTCGTTGCTGTGCGCAGGCTTTCTCTAGTTGCGGCGAGCGGGGGCTACTCTTCACTGTGATGCGCGGGCTTCTCATTGCGGGCTCCTCTTGTTGCGGAGCACGGGCTGTAGGCGAGTGGGCTTCAGTAGTTGTGGTGTACGGGCTCAGTAGTTGTGGCTTGCGGGCTCTAGAGAGCAGGCTCAGTAGTTGCGGCGCACGGGCTCAGTTGCTCCATGGCATGTGGGATCTTCCCGGACCAGCGCTCGAACCCGTGTCCCCTGCATTGGCAGCTGGATTCTTAACCACTGCGCCACCAGGGAAGCCCAGTTTATTGATTTTTTTAAGAAATGTGAGGATTTACACTATGGATGCTACTAGTCTAAAGAAGGTGGAGAGTTTTGCAATTTTTAAATAAGTCTTTTCCCCTCACTTTCACACACAATTTTCCAGCCATTCCAGAATCTAGAATCCAACATCTCAATTGGCTAAGCCTAAGAAGAAATATGCTATTCTTTTCTTAATGATGTTTTCCCTTTTTTCTTCTCATAGACTTGTACTAAAGGTTGGAAAGTAACAGAAGAGGATTATAGCACACGCAGAACAGGGAACCTGAAGGACTGTCACCAGCCATTCTCTTCATCCCAGCAGCCACCATGTTGCTGAGGTCTGTCCCCTCTATAAACATCCTTCCCCTCCATTTCTCTACTCTGTTCCTAGGACCCCTCATCTCATTTCTCCACCAGGGCAGTCACCCCAAACCTCTATTTTCCACTGCAGTGTCACACAGAGTGACCCAGCTCTCATGCCCCAGTCGTTTTCTTCTAGACTGTTCCTGGGGCACTTTGCATTTCTGAACCAAAAAATTTATCAGAATGTCTCCTAAACAAAAGAGGTCCCCCAACCCAGGATCTCCACCCTAGGCAACACAAAAAACTGGCACAGCTGAAACCACAGTTATTCTTAGCTGGTCCCAGGTCAAATTCTTAAGCAAAATATCATTCCCCATCAACAGTATCCTATGCTATTCTTATGTATGTCCAAGAAACAGAGATTATGGTGGGCGGAGGGGGGATGGGGCATCTATTTGAGGGTTTAATCCCTTGCTTTCACTCAGTCAGTTCTTCCTTGAATCTGACTCAATGATCCCATTTCCTCCAATCCATTCTTTCTGGAAACCAAAACCTCCCTCCCAATAATACAGCGATAGAATCTCAAGTCTCACTTTCCCAGATGCCTTCCCCGTCCCGATTTGGTATTTGCTCTGTTTCCCCTGCAGGTTCTGTGTCCCCCGTGAGGTTGTGAGCACCTTGCCTGTTGCCAAGAACCATTACGGGTTTCAGGAACAGGCTGAAGGATGGCCTGAAAACCCCAGGTCCCCCCCGGCTTTGTTCCCTCTAAGGGAAACAGCCCCCACCCTGGGACGCCCTTCGTCCCTTGGGCGCCCCTTCTCTGGCCTGGCCACTCACCCTGGGCTCACCCTGCGCTGCAAAGCGGGTGCGTAGCACGTCCACAGGATGTACGGCGAGGGTGGCCACACAGGCAGACAGGCCGCCACACACAAAATGCACGGAGAAGTCTCGGGCATCGCGCACGCTGGCCCTGTGCACCAGCTCGGTGAGCACTTCAAACGACAAAAACTGCAAGAGTGTGTGACAGTGTCATGGAAAACACCCCCCGAATGCACCCGTGACCCAGGCGGGGCCTATCCTAGGGACCAGGAGATACTACTCTTCTTGAGTAGGGTCAGAATACAACGAACATGTAACTGTGCAAAGCTCAGATGCCCTTTCATACTCTGAGCAGAGCCAAATACCCAAGGGTTAAGAAAATACATGAGAACATTTTTATATCAGAAAATTCTACTTGGGGGACCTCCCTGGTGATCCAGTGGCTAAGATTCCGCACTCCCAGTGCAGGGAGCCCAGGTTCAACCCCTAGACAGGGAACTAGATCCCACATGCTGCAACTAAAAAAAAAAGATCCTGCATGCTGCAACTAAGACCCTGACACACCAAATAAATAAATAAATATTTTTAAAAAAGAAAGAAAGAAAGAAAAAGAAAATTCTACTCGGGAACTCCCTGGCAGTCCAGTGGTTAGGACTTGGTGCTCTCACTGCCGTGGCCCCGGGTTCAATCCCTGGTGGGGGAACTACGATCCCGCAAGCTGCATGGCGAGGCCAAAAAAAAAAAAAAAAAGAATACAAAAGAAAATTCTACTCATCACTTAGTTTTCTGAGAACTGGCAAAAGATGGCCATTATCTGACTCTAGGCTGGGGACCCTTTTAATGCAGCTGGCAGTGGCCCTGTTTGAGAAACATTCTGCCCTGGAGCTGAAATTCTGTTGGGAGAATTCCACATATTCCATATTCTGTGGTGTAAGCCCTCTTTGGGCTCAGATCCTTCTCCGGCCACCTCAAGATGGCTTGGGGTCCTGAGAGCACATGTTGCTGCATTTACCCATCAGGACGCAGCATCTGTGTGCTGGGCGCAGAGATGGCAAGGCAGGTGCGTGTGACCTGAGCAATCACTGTGATGTCATACGTAGAGCAGGCAGGGACTGCTCTGCCACTTTCTAGCTAGTGACGTTGGTTGGACTAATTACTTAAGCTCTCTCTGCCTCAGTCTTCTCATCTGTAAAATAAGGATGACAACAGAACCTACCAGAGGACTGTTGTAAGGTGTCAGATGTGAAGTGCTTCACCCGGGGCCTGGCCCCCTATGAGCACTGTGCGGGGTTGGCTATTTCCATCACCACTACTGTACAGCTACAGACTAGATGCCATGGGGTAAACTGGCGCTCAGCTGAACAAACTCATGAGCAACGGTCAAGAAGCCTGGATCCTAATCCTAGCCTCATCACCTACAAGCTGTGTGGCCTCAGGCAGCTCACTCAACCTCTCTGCGACCCACCAACACCTGCTCCACCTTCCTCACAGTGTTGTTAGGAAGTTCAAAGGATGCACAGACGTGAATAATGCTATTTTGAAAAATGAAAAGCATTTGTATTGCCATTTGCTAAGCCCCTCTGGGCTGGGTGTCAAGACAGTATCCTAGGTGCAGCACCTCATTTTCAGTGGGTGCTAAGTCTCCAGGGTTGGGGGACGTGGGGAAGGGGATGCCTGTAGTACAGCTCAGTCTATGTCTTCAATTTGTCAGGTAGTTTCCCAGCCAACATGAATGAGCAGTGTGTGACCGCCTCCTGCTGCCCTACCCCGGGGAAGCCCAGGTACACGCCTCACCACCCCGGGCTCCCCCATTGGGCAATGTGACCCCAGGGGCCTGGCCGCTTCCCTTGCCACCTACTTGGACAGCTCCATAGCCTATGGAGAGAAGCTGGGCTGGGATGTGTCCTTTCCAGAATGCTGTTGGGCCCTCCTCTTGCAAAATCTGTCTCCCAGCCTGCAGGATCCCGTGGTATTTCGCGTTGGGGTCACTGCGAGAAAGGCGCTCAATCTGAAGCTAGGAATCAAGATGAGAATGGTCAGGATGATGGCGGGGGGGCGAGGAGGAATTTCAGAGACGGTAACAAAGGCAACAAAGTGCTTCTTGACAAAACTGCAAGCTCTAGGAACTGCTTTGGCAAAAAAGAGTGAACTTGTCCTCTGGCCCGTTACACACAAAAAGGGGAAAAGGGTACCTGGAAACGGATCTTGATGACATCCAAGGGGCTGATCAGCACCCGAGTGACAAGTCCAGACACAGACCCAGCCACGGCCACCTCGAGATTGGAGACATTCCTGCCGTCTGCTCTGGGGTCATAGCCCACCATCCCTGCCTGTGGCCCATACAATGTCCATCAGCTTCAGGCTAAATGCAAGAGACAGGAGTAAATACCAGAGCAAGGTCTTAGGGCCCCGGCTCACACATCACTCCTCAGAGCAGTCCTCCCGGACCAGCCCCCCAAAGCAGCGCCCACATCCCTTTTCTCTCCTTATCCTGCTTTATTCTTCTTTAGAGCATTTATATACCAGACATTGATTCCATACTTTGGTTTCTTGTCTCTCTCCCCCATTAGAATTCGAGCCCATGAAAACACGGCGTTGGTCTCATTCATCCATCCCTGTAACTCCAGTGCCCGGAAGAGAGCCCACCACAGTACATGCTCATTAATATTTGCTGATGGAGTGAATGAACAGGCTTGGTAGGAAACAGTTCACTTCCAGAGATCAGCTGGCTTTCCAAGACACCTGGTTTTATGGCCAGCTCCTGACTGAGGCGAAATCCCAGGCTGCGTTAGCGTGAGGGCAGAGCCTCAAGCTGAGCGCAGAGGGGGAACCTCAGACACACGGACTCCAGGAACGGGGCCTGGGATTCTCTAACAAGCCGCCATGATCCAAAGGGCCCTGAGCCCTTCAGCATCACCCTTCGCCATTCTTTGCACACACCGCAGGCCCGCCCACAGCAGTGGAGCTGAGTTACGCTGCAAAATGATACAGGCCCAACTCTTCAACCTCACCCTGGACCACGGTTCAGTCTCTTCAGCCAGGGTGGGCTCAGTGCTTCTGAGCAGTTCCTAGAAAATGCTGTCTACGTTCCTATCTACCGGCCCATCCCTGGACCTACTGTTCCCATGTCTGAAATGCAGCCTCACTCTTCCCTAGACTGGTTCCTCTCACCTTCCAGGGCTCAGCTAAAGAGCTGAGCTAAAGAGCATCCCCTCCAGAAGATGTACTCATGTCCTTTCTAGCATTCCCAGCACTTGTTAAGGTGCTGTCCTCCCCGCCCACAGGAGGCAGGCTCCATACAGGTAGGGGACTCAGCCTTGTTACAGTGGTATCTCCAGAGACCAGCACGGTGCCTGGCATGCCCCAAAGGCTCTAAAAACAATGACTGAATAAATGATTAAAAACCAAGTAACTGGGACTTCCCTGGCGGTACAGTGGTTAAGTCTCCACGCTTCCACTGCAGGGGGCACGTTCGATCCCTGGTTGGGGAACTAAGATCCCGCATGCCATGCAGTATGGCCAAAAAAACCCCAAAAATCTAATTCCATTTTTATCTAGAGCCGACCTCAACACTAATGACATTTTAGAATGAAGAATTCTTTGTAGTTGGGGGCTGTCCTGAGCACTGTAGGATGTTTAGCAGTACCCCTGGTCTCTACCCACCAGATGCCAGTATCCCCACGCTCCCCTTGTGACAATCAAAAATGTCTCCAGACATTGACAAATGCCTCCTGGGGTTCAAAACTGCCCCTGATCGAGAACCACTGTTCTAGAGAAATACTAGAATGTGTGTGTAAAATGTCATGCATTGCATCACTATTTATAAAACTGGATATAATGCAAATGATTATAAATAGAGGGATAGACACTAAGTCACCTCCATGCAATAGGACACCATGCAGCCATTAAAAGAATGAGCGGACTTCCCTGGTGGCGCAGTGGTTAAGAATCCACCTGCCAATGCAGGGGACACGGGTTTGACCCCTGGGCGGGGAAGATCTCACATGATGCGGAGCCCATGCGCCACAACTACTGAGCCTGAGCTCTAGAGTCCTCAAGCCACAACTACTGAAGCCTGTGTGCCCTAGAGCCCACGTGCCATAACTACTGAGCCCACATGCTGCGACTACTGAAGCCTGCGCACCTAGAGCCCGTGCTCCACAACAAGAAAAGACACAGCAATGAGAAGCCTGCGCACCGTAACGAAGAGTAGCCCCCGCTTGCCACAATAGAGAAAGCCCGCGTGCAGCAACGAAGACCCAGCACAGTCAAAAATAAAAAAAGATAAAAAAAAAAAAAGAATGAGCCAGAGCTAAACACACACTGGAAAAGACGTCCACAATTGACTAAAACAAGAAAAAAGCAGGTTTCAGAACTGTATGTCTAGTGTAACCCCACTTCTGCAAAAGAAAAACAGCAAGACCTACATACACCCTCAACAGTCGTATAAAGCATAGCAGGAAAGTCTATAAGGACACACACATCAACAGGTTGGTAAGGTTACCTTTGGGGGTAGGGCTGGCAAGGGAAAAGGGAAGGCAGATCTCCTCCCTGCTACTTTATTTATTTTTTTTCCACGCCTCGTGGCATGTGGGATCTTAGTTCCCCAACCAGGGATAGAACCCGGGCCCCCTGCAGTGGAAGCACCGCGTCCTAACCACCAGACCACCAGGAAATTCCCTCCCTTTTTCTTTACACAATTCTACGTTGCTTGAATTCATTATGGCCCCCCCAAACCCCAATTAAAAGTAAACATAAAATGATTTTAGAAGAGACCTCAGAATTAACCTAGTTCTTGAATACCTTTAGTAACAGGGAAATCAGGGCCCACACAGTGACACCTTCACCCCATTGTTTCTTTTTCTCCTCTCACCTTCCCTGGAACTCTGTCCACACCAATCCCTCAGCCCCAAGCCCTCACTTTTCTGAAACTACCAAAATAGCACTCCAATCCATCCTTAAAATTAACAAGACATTTCCATGGGGCTCGATCAGCAAAGTATTGTAAAATAACATTTATTGAAAGTCTAATGGGGGAATTCCCTGGCGGTCCAGTGGTTAGACTCGGCACTTTCACTGCTGGGGCCTAGGTTCGATCACTGGTCAGGGAACTAAGATCCCGCAAACCACACAGCACAGCCATAAAAAAGAGAGAGAAAAAAGTCTAATGGTATGAAATCTCCCGACTCCCGCCAGGAATTTGCCCATTCTCCCCAGACTTCTCCCCAGACCCTCAAAGGAGGAGATCTCGACTTTCCCATCAACTTCTCTGTGACATTAACTCAAGCTGCTACTCCCCAGGCACCTGTGAGGAGCAGTTTAAACGTGAGGCAGGTGACTGAGAGGCAAAGCCTCTCCGGAGGTTGCCCAGAGACTGCTCAGGTCACACTGAGCAGTGTCAGATCCCTACTGTCAGGGAGGGAAGGAGGCATTTCTACAAATAAGCAGCTCTGCATAGCTGGACATAACCTTAAACCTCAGATCAAGAAGCCCGAGTCAAAATTCTGTCTCTCTCGGGCTTCCCAGGTGGCGCAGTGGTTGAGAGTCCGCCTGCCAATGCAGGGGACGCGTGTTCGTGCCCCGGTCCGGGAGGATCCCACATGCCGCCGAGCACCTAGGCCCGTGAGCCATGGCCGCTGAGCCTGCGCGTCCGGATCCTGTGGCCCGCAACGGGAGAGGCCACAACAGTGAGAGGTCCGCGTACCGCAAAAAAAAAAAAATCCTGTCTGTCTCTCTCATGTACCTTGGCAGCTTTTTCTTCTGGAAAGTGGGAATGATGGTGGCCTTGCCTAGCCGGATTCCTGGGAGGATCACACGAGATACTACTATATGTGATAAGCTTTGTCAAAAAAGTAAAAGTCCTTATACACGTGAAAGGTCTTGTTAAATATAATTCAGTAGTGGCCTTACTTTTTCTGCTTGTTCAAAATTTCCTTCTTGTACCAAAAAACCATCTAAAGAGACAAAATAAACATGAAATATGATTATATGCATGATATAATAAAGTACCCAGAAGACAGGGGCCGCTGGTGTGAGTGGCAGGGCGGCTGGGGTGTGTGTATATGAGTCTGCCGTGCCACCCCTGTTTTTACTGCGTAAGTCCCTGGGGCTCAGGCATGCAGGTGCCCCGCGGTGAGCGTGTGTGCCCGTGAGCCCACGTGCTCAGCTGAGGGTCTCTGCAGATGTCTCCGCGTGTGGATACAAGTGTCCACATGTGCTCCAGGGCGTGTTTTTTCTCCCCGAGTCCGAGAAAACGCCCACAAGGTGGGAACCCGCATGTACAGGTGCCCCGGGTGTGTCCAGGGTTTTGCTTCCTGCGTCCCTGAAGATGCTTCTCAGATCAGACGCGACACGTGTGGGTACAGTCCCCGCCCCCGCGTAAGTACCTGCGCGTGTAGGCGCCCCCGGGCAGCGGGAGTGCAGCTCCCCGAGCTGAGTGCCAGGAGGGCGGAGGAAGAGGTCACTCACCCGGCTCCAAAGGCGCGGCCCGGTTCCCCGAATTCTTCTCTCCCTCCCTCCTCACGCAGTCTAACGGCAAAACTTCACTGCGCTTGGCAGTAACTGACGGGCTTGTGGGCCAATCACCGCGCAGCTTCCGACAGACGCTGGACCAACGGTTGTACAGTAGTCACCCGACCAACGCCTATTGCAAGGGGTTGCTGGGTAATGTAGTCCTCCGCTACTGAGGCCGTCCCCTTACGAGGCGCAGGGCCTCCTGGGAGATGTAGTCCCTCGGCGCGCGTATGCGCACATGTTACCCACGCGTTGAAAGGAGGAGGGTCCCGAAGCCAGGCTACGCCTTTGGAAGTAGCTGCGCTGAGTGGCGTGTGCCTTGGATCAGATTGCTGGCGGGCGGAAGTTTAGGGCGCGCTGAACGTGACCTTCTTTCCTCAAAACTTTCATAGTTTCAGTACCCGGATCACCTAAACTTGGAAAAGATGGCGGGAAGTTTAGCAAAATCCTGGAGGGCGTGGGGGAAAGAATAGATGAATTTTTAAGACCAGAACGACGACGGCAAAAATACAGAGGTTTTGTTTCCCCCTAGGGTTTATTATGCATAACTCTCATTATAAGATAATATAAAAATATATAGACACATTACAGAAAATGTAGAAATGAAGGGGGAAATGACTCATCCTACCGCTCTCACGCAAGTAGTATCAGCGTTTTGCAGGACAGTCTTCCCGATTTTTAAACTGCATTTTTCATATTACTGCAATCATTTTGACGCACAATTTAAAAACATTTTATTAGGCTTCCCTGGTGGCGCAGTGGTTGAGAGTCCACCTGCAGATGCAGGGGACGCGGATTCGTGCCCCGGTCTGGGAAGATCCCACATGCCGCGGAGCGGCTGGGCCCGTGAGCCATGGCCACTGAGCCTGCGCGTCCGGAGCCTGTGCTCCGCAGCGGGAGAGGCCACAACAGTGAGAGGCCCGCGTACCGCAAAAAACCCCCACATTTTTATTGAACATTTTAAAAACGTTTCAGGGACTTCTCTGGCAGTCCAGTGGTTAAGACTCCGTACGTCTACTTCAAGGGACGTGGGTTTGGTCTCTGGTTGGGGAACTAAGATCCATGTGATGCGGCACATAAATAAGTAAAGAAGTAAATAAATAAAACGTTTCATACTATACAAAAGTAGAGAGAATAGCCTGATGAACCACCATATAGTCATTACTCAACTTCAACAATTAACCAACTCCTGGTCAGTCTTGTTTTTCTCCATACCCGCACCTAAGTGGCACTGTTACTGAGTCCAAGCTCATCCTGGTCCTGCTTGCCACAGGACAGGCCAATAAATTGAGAGAACAGTTGTTGGGGCAAAGAATAGCAACTTTATTAGGAAAGCCAGCAGACTGAGGAGATGGTGGACTCGTGTCCCAAAGAACAATCTTGCCTCAGTTAGAATTCAGGCTTCTTTTATACTAAAAGGGGAGGGGGTAAAAGTCAAACATTCCTGGTTCCAGTCAGCCTCCAGAGGGGATGTGTTGATTTCTTCCTTCCTGTAGTCATTCACAGGTGGGCCTGGTCAGGATGTTTCCTGTGAGCTAAACAAAGGTATTTTAGCTTAAAGCTTATTACCTGGGAGGCAGGGTTCCCAGAGGTGGGCCATTATGTATAATTTAAGCTTATAGGCAACATCTCTTTAGTGATTAACTTGTAGCAAAAGCAATAGAATATAACGGTTAAAGTGAAAGAAACAGATCTAATATGGAGTCAGATTTGTTCTTCCCTATTACAGCGCCCCCCCAACATTATTTTGAAATAAATACCAGATGTGATTTCACCAGTAAGCATTTCACAGTGTATTTTTATTTTTATTTATTTATTTACTTTGCGGTACGCAGGCCTCTCATTGTTGTGGCCTCTCCCGTTGCGGAGCATAGGCTCCGGACACGCAGGCTCAGCAGCCATGGCTCACGGGCCCAGCCGCTCCGCGGCATGTGGGATCTTCCCGGACCAGGGCACGAACCCGTGTCCCCTGCATCGGCAGGCGGACTCCCAAACACTGCGCCACCAGGGAAGCCCCACAGTGTATTTTTAAAAGACAAGCATTCCCCTTTTAAAACATATCCCCCAGATTATCACCCACCTCCAAAACAATAATTTCCTAATATTATCAAGTATCAAATTAGTGTTTACATTTACCTGATTGACCTACAAATGTCATTTTTCAAATACAGTTTGTCTGAATTGAGATCCAGACCATACATTGCAACTAGTTAATATATCTCTTAAGTCTTTAAAAAAAAAAAAAGCTATGGTTTCCCTCTTCCTCTCTTTTTTGCTTGCAATTTCTTTCATTTCCTTTTTGTTTCATTTTTAAAAAATTTATTTATTTTATCTTTGGCGTTTGGTCTTTGTTGCTGCGTGCGGGCTTTCTCTAGTTACAGGAAGTGGGGGCTTCTCTTGTTGCGGACCACGGGCTCTAGGAGCTCGGGCTTCAGTAGTTGTGACACACAGGCGTAGTTGTTCCGTGGCATGTGGGAATCTTCTCGGACTAGGGATCGAACCCGTGTCCCCTGCACTGGCAGGCAGATTCTTAACCACTGTGCCACCAAGGAAGTCCCTGGTTTCGTTTCTTTTTCTTTCTTTCTCTCTTTATTTGTTTTTTTAGAAACTAGGTGGTTTGTCCCGTAGAGTTTTCTCCAGTCTGGATGGATCTTGCTGGTGGCATCCCCGTGGTGTTTTAACATCTTCCTCCGCCTCTTGTGTTCTCTACATATTGGTTAGTTAGATCTAAAAGGTTTGATCAGATCAGGTTTGATTTTTTTTTTTACAAGACTGTTTGCAGCCATTGATCATTGCATTGCTTAGGGGTTATAAATGGTGATATCATTTCGGCATTTATTAGCTGGAAGACAGATGAAGAGGAATATCACCTCATCGGCTAATTGATTACATGAGGTACACTTAGTACAAAAAAGTCAGGTTACATACCTGATTCTTTACCTTTAGCAGTTTTCAAAATAATTGATTCCCTAGTATCTTCCACAGGATATTGATCAATGAGGTTTTTTATTATTACCATTATGAACACATATTTTATATCTATTATGAACGCATGGATTTGTATCTATCATTATGAACATTATATTTGTTCTTTTTCAATCCACTGTAATTATTATCCCGATTTGATACTCGTATTTTTCCATCGTTGGCCAACAGGTTGGCACCCGAATCCTTTAAACAAAATGACTCGTTTCCTTGTTTTCTGGCATGACAAAGTGTTCTAGGCTCATCACAATTTTCCACACAGCTTTATTGAGGTGTAACTGACATACAGTTGACTACATATTTCCAAAGTGAACAATTTTATGTGTGAACAAGATAGTGAACATATATATCCATGACCTTAAAGGATTCCTCGTGCCCCTTTACTATCCCTCCCTCTTGCCCTCTCTTCTCCCTCCCTCTTCCCCAAGCAGTCTCTGATCTGCTTTCTGTCATAATGGGTTAGTTTGCATTTTATAGAATTTTATATGAATGGAATCAAACATGACGTTCTTTTTCTCTGGCTTCTTTCCCTCAGCATAATTATCGTGAGATTCATCCACGTTGTATGTATTATTAATTGATCCCTTTTTATTGCTGAGTAATATTCTATTGTACAGATATACAATAATTTTTAAATCTATTCACCTGTTGATGGACATTCGGGCTGCTTCCAGTTTTTGGCTGTTATAAATAAAGCTGCTATTGATAGGGATAGAGGAGGATAAATAAATACTTATTTTAGAAATCCCACTAGGGGATTAAAGACAGAAAGGGAATTTTAAGGGAGTTTGGGGGACTGTTGTAAGCGAATAACTACTCAAGAAAAGAATTCAGCAACCTAGCAACAATCTGCTCTACCTGGAAGGAAGACCAGGCGCACCCAAGCCCCAAGTCCTGATAGTTAAAACATAAGACAATAGATACGGGGTCTACATCTTGTTACACGAAGTCAGGGAATTGACGGTCCTTGAAGAGTAGCATTTCTGCATATAGTCAAGACAAGAATAGAGGAGAAAGGGGAAAGAAACTAGGTGAAAGAGGACATGATACCAAAACCTGAGATGAATTACCATATTTTAGTATAGGTTACCACCCTTTTGCTAATATACATATGATTTCAATAGAGCCATGACAGTCCTGGTTAGACCATATAGGGTTAAAGGAGGAACTAATGATGTACCCAAAATGAGGAAGAAGTTGGTCTTCTCCCCCCCCCCCACTTTTTCTTTGATTATAAAAATGTAGCCCAGTTTGTTCTGGGGGCTGTGCTCCCTGGTCTGCCTGCTTGTATCTCTCACAAGCATCCCATGCTAATAAACTCACTCTTTGCCTGCCACTTCACCTCGGGCCTCTCGCTGGATTCTTTCTGCACTGAGACAAAAGAACCTGAG